TTTTTCGAAAGACTCCCGATGACCCAATCAGTGACTACAGACTAAAAAACAGTGACTTTCGGCGTAAACTGTGCCCCCTACCTAGCCATAAAAACACTGCAGCAACTGGCCCAAGACTCTGCGTGCGAGTTCCCCCTATGCTTAAAAATTTTGAAGCTGGAAACTTATGCAGATGATATATTTTCAGGAGCACATGATCTATAAACTGCCCAGAACTCTTTGTCCCAACTTATCAAAGCTTTGAAATCAGCAGGATTTCCTCTTAAGAAGATCACTGCAAATAATGCCGAACTATTAGAAAAGGTACCCAAAACCGATATCTTAGATTCACAGTTCCTCAAATTAGAAGATCACAGCACGACAAAGACGTTAGGAATTCATTGGAACGCAGTGTCCGACTCCTTTTCCTATACGTTCAACTTACCCTCAATCTCACACTCAGCCACAAAGCGACAGATACTCTCAGCAGTTGCCAAACTGTTTGACCAGGCAGGATGGCTATCGCCTATAATGATTAGAGCGAAAATCCTCCTGCAAACGCTATGGAAAGAAGGAACAGACTGGGATGAATGTGCCAAACCCAATTCCGTTCATGTTTGGTGCAGATTTGTAGAAAATCTATCCGAAGTTGGAAAAATAGAAGTTCCCCGTTGGATAGGATTCTCACCCACTTATAACATTCAAACTCATGGATTTTGCGATGCGTCACAAGAGGCGTATTGTGCATGTCTGTACATTCGCTGCCAACAAGATATAAACCCCGCTACAACCCGCCTACTTGTAGCGAAAGGCAAGGTAGCTCCACTACAGACAATAAGTCTCCCTCGTCTGGAATTATGCGGAGCCGTACTCCTTTCCAAACTCTTAAACCAGGTACGGTCCCAATTAGATCTACAAAAAGCCAGCGTATACTTATGGTGCGACTCGTCCATCGTGCTTGCTTGGCTTGAAAAACCCCCATACGTATGGAAAACTTACGTTGCTAACCGTATTTCCGAAATCCTCAAGAACGTAGGAAATTCAACTTGGCGACATGTAAGGAGCAACGACAACCCCGCTGACTTAGGCACCCGTGGCTGCAAGCCGCAAGAATTAGTCTCTCACTCACTATGGTGGCATGGCCCGGAATGGCTGTGCACTCCCCCCAATAGTTGGCCAAGCTCACAACCTCAGAAAACTCAACCCCCAGATCAAAGAACTATCAAGGCTTTCCATATGATAGAAAAGAAAGATGTTATCGATGGTTTCTCTTCCTTCGCAAGGGTCTTACGTATCATAGGCTACGTATTCCGTTTCTTCCATAAATGTAAGAAAATCTCTCAAGACGCGGGTCCATTAACACAACACGAAATAAATAACACCAAAACTCGACTCATTATTTTAGCCCAAAAAAGGTATTTTGAAGATGAATACTCC